GACAGTCACTCATGTTGGGGCAGGTGGGTGCTGCTGCCGGCACTCGCTCCGACCGTCTGTCCTTGATGCCAGGCCAGCTACCCTCAAGGACCGCCAGTTCCTATCAGCTGAGGAGCCCAAAAGGCACAAAGCAACCTTCATCCACATTGTCCCTACACCAAACTTCACCTGAGGTTGGTTGAACCATGAACAGGAAACTGTGGTATACTATTACTGGTGGATAGTATATTGTATAGTTATTGAATAGTCATCCAAAATAAGTAGAAAATGTTTAAAATGTAACTTTATGTTTGCTTTTTATCTCAACCTGAAGAAAAAGATGAAAGCCAGCTGCTTCCCTCGTCCACTCACCCCGAAAAACAGGAGCGTGAGCAGTGGTCCTTCGAGCTCTACTCTTCGTGCTGCCCTCAGCCCAGTGAGTGAAATTTTAGCTCACACAAAATTGTGACAAAACTTTGTTTTTGAGCGCTTTGCTAAGTTTCACTTGCATTACTCTCAGGCTGAGCGGAGGCAGTCAATGATGTTTACCATCGAAAACACCCCTAAAAGCAATAACTACCTGAAGAAACATCTGAACAAGCTGCGCAGCTCTGCACGTAAATCCCCAGGCGACAGCTTGAAGAAGGCGCCTCCTCAGACAAGCGCACGCAAACACCAGGAAAAAATGCCATCAGGGAGTTCACGTGGTGGTGTGAGACAAGCCGGGAGAATTGGAAACTTTAAATCACCTCAAGTGGTAACGAAAGGATCGAGGAAATCTCCCCAAGCTGCCAGCAGATCTGCAAAGTCTCCTGGATTGACAGCCAGCGCTCGCAAGGTAAACATCTGACACTGCAGTGGTTTATGAAAGGACAACAGCACAGGGTGTGGTTTTTATTTCTGACATGTGCAACAACATTTTATTGTATTCAGATGTTATTAAATCTTGTTTTGTAGCCGTGTTGCTGAAATGCATTTTCCTGAGTTTTGGTTTAATCTTTGTCTTTTTCTTTTCTTTCAAACTTACAGATGATGCGAAGGATGAAAGTCTGATGACTGGTCAAGCCCCCCACATCCGTTCACCCACAAATAGTTCATCGGGACTTTGTTTTTAACAGTTCATCATTCTTTTTCCATGTTTGTTTTGCTTCTTAATCTTTGTATTATATGTACATGTTTCTCAGTTAATCGATTTTAAATGGTATTTCAGGAAATGGATTTTTTTTTTTTTTTTACCTGCAATTGTATTTTGATTTTTTGTAAATAAATTTCTCAATGATTTGGGAGTTCAGGCTCTTCATTTCACTGGTGGTGCCATAAATGGCCAGAACAGAAGCCTAAATTGTTTTGTTTTTTTACTGATTATGGGATTTTACTGAGCCATGTAATGAAAGTAACTTTTCTTTCTACAGATCATATTTTACATGTGAGGGCCGTGATGCCAACAACAGGTTTAGTTTGTTAACCCCAAACACAGGAAGCGTTTCTGTTCCAGAAACAGAGCTAACTTTAACAGTTACTCCGGCAAATAAATCAAATATCACATGTAAATTTAAATGTGGGTTTAAAATCAAAACTATGCTCTCTGTTGACTGTTTGCCTAACTGCAACACAAGTGTACAAACTCAGTAAAAACCAAGCAGAGTATTACTAAAGGAGGGAAGCATTTGTACATAAAAAAGAAACGTTAAGTGCAGATCCATATATGTCTCAACTGATGTTTTAACAAAACCTTTTTAGTACAAATAGCACACAGATTACTGCTGCTGGATCCTAAGAGTCACAGCAACAACAGACTATAATGTCTGCTGAGGTCTCAGCAACAAGAACTAAACAGCCCTGACTCATGTCTGCACTTTAAGACAAAAACACAGTCTGCAGGTTAGAAATGAATCACAAATCAAACAATTTGGCCCAAGTTCAGACCAAGAAGACACCTTTTGGTATACGACTGTTCATGTTGCACAGCAGCGATCAGAGCTCTGTTGTAAAGGAACCACTTGTGATATTGTAAAAGGCACCGTTTGTATATGATGTACTGACTTTATTAAACAGATCAGAGGACAAATCATGGCTTGGCAAACAGTTTTTCATCAAAGATGCTGTGGACAGCACCCTGCAGCACGTCTGTCCTCTGAATTATACTTGCTCTGACTCTGGAGGAGCTGATCAGCACTAACTCATCAGGAAGCTGTATGGATATCCATGGTACTTGGCTCTGAAGATCGACAGCAACCAACTGAAGAACAGCATAACTAGACCGATACCTGCAACACACATAACTTTTTTTTTTCTGGAGACATAAATGGTGTTTATTGTGTTTTTTTTTTGTTTTGTTTTTTTATAAGGGACAGACATGACTGGGGGATAGGACAGGGAGAAAGAATGAAAGAAAGAGAGGGAGAGAAAGAAAACCAAAGGGGAGAAGAGACGGTGAGAAGGGGGGGAAGAAAGAAAAAAACAAACAAACAAACAAACAAAACACCTGGGTCACCTGTATGGAGAAAAAAAAACAGAAGAGAAAGCAAACAACAAAGAGCAACATAATTAAAAAAAGCACCATCACAATAAACTAGCTAGCAGTAGATATCAGTAGATACTAAATAATAAACGATATTGTGCAGCACGCAAGATAGACAGCGCACAATGTGCTCTGAGGCAGCAGCCAAGAAAGCTGTAGTCCGCGTCTGTGAATACCCATGTGTACACCTGTGTGCATACCTGTGTGGATCAGCATGCTTGCATTCCAAAGGTTTCTCCATGTTACGATCTGCTAGGGAGTGTGGGGGAGCCACAGCCCCGTCCTCCAGGGTATGAAGCAGGTATGGAGGAGATCAAAACTCCAGACATCCAGAGGCCCCCAGAACACAAGAGACCAAGGAAGACCAACAGAGGGGCAGCCGCGCCACTGTCCCAGTAAGAGCTGAGGAGAGTCCCAGATGAGGGCTCACTCAGCAGCCGCGGAGCAGAAGCCAGGGGGAGTTGCAGTGACGCACCCGTGAGCTCCGCCGGCAGCCAGCTGCGCCTGAGTGACCGAGCCCCAGGCCGAGAGGCCGGGGGCACCCCACCTCCGAAGTGGCCCGAGCGAGCCCCAGGCTCCAGGCCCCGATAAGCGGCCGCCAAGGAGTGAGCCGGTGTGTACCTGGACGCCCATCCCCAGACACAAAGAACCACCAACGCACCGACACCTGAGGGAGTCCGCCACTGGCAGGGGAAGTGGTGGTGGGTGGAGATAGGCCTCCAAACCTTGGAGGGCCTGAGATGTCCCCAGAGAGGTGGCGTCTGATACCCAACCTGACATATAGACACAGACATACAGGCACACACAGACACAAACATCCATTCCCACCCTCATGCTCTCATATGCACTTACTCCACACTCAACCAACGTGGAGACAGACATAAAGAGACGCTGTACACACGATCACACTCCCCAAGCGTACTCTACGAACCGGGTCTAGGTACCCTTGCCCCTGGAGGGGGGAACTGCACCCAGACCCAGGTGGTGTTACCCTTTTCCCTGCGGTGGGGCGAGGCAGACCGCCCCGACTCCGCAGCAGCAGGGAGGCCCCACACTCCAGACCGCAGTCGGACGGCCAACTCCTCCTAGCCCCCCCGCTCCAGCAGGCCGCAGAGAATGGGGGTGAGAGAAGCCTAAATTGTTGAGGCATGTCAGTGTTATTGACTTATTGCATTACTTATATGCACCCAATGCTTATATAATAATAATAATAATAATAATAATAATAATAATAATAATAATAATAATAATAATAATAATAAAACTGCTTAATTCACCAAAGATTGTAAGGTTTCTTACATAAAAAGTTATTATTTATGTTTTGAGATTAGCGTCCAGTGACTGCATTCTCTCTTTGATCCTGGAGTAAATGTTGGGAATTAAGATGACTTACTTTAGTACTATTACTGTTTTTAAATGTCATTGAGATCTAATATATTAAAATTTCCTACAGACATTTTATTACTGTTGTTTGTCATGAAATCCAGTATTAGATGTCCAGTAATGGACATATCTTCATAGGCTGCAAATACTAAAACAGTGCACACTGAATAGTCAAAACAGTTCAGGTACTTAATTTCCATCAGTGTCACTGGCTGATTGAGTGACACCAGAAACACTTCATTGTAAATGAGCTGCAGAAAGATGGCGCTGATGTCCCTGTAAACTTCATCATGGGACCCTTTTTTTTTCTTTTAAAAGCTGCCTCTAGCAGAATGTTGAACGTTGATGTCAATATATCACATATTATATGACAGTCTAAATCCAATAAATAGATTTTAAAGTGTTTACATGTGCAACTTATGTCTTTTTTTTTTTGTCTTATAAGAGTTTTCATTACATTTACTTCTGTAGATGGAAACACCACTGACAGAAAGGGTGCACAAAAATGATTTTAACATAAATATAAATACATTGCATAATCATTGTTAAATTTAGCATTTCAGTTAAAGAGGATAATTAAAGACAAGTCTTACAAAGATGGGGAGGTAATGCAAATGTTAATACTTGCATTTCCATCTTCCTCCAGTGATATCTTGATCCAAAAGACGGTGTATTCTATTGACACTACATAAGAAACATTTAGAGTAGTTAGGACTACTTGGCACTCTGTAACTCTATTTTGGTGTTTTCTGAGCTTACTGGATGATCATGCATGAGCATGAGGTACACCTTGGCCCAGTGAGCTGGTATATCACAGCTCCACCTTTCCTGTAGACTCCCTTCATCTCTCTTTCTGATTGTAACACCAACACTAAAACTCATCTGCTGTAGCAGATATCTTGGATTTTTTGTTGTTGTCTTTGTTACACATTGCACACTCTGCGTGCATATACTCATTCGTGCATATACTACTGTACTACTAACGTACTGACAAACATTGGTTTTCTTCATGTCATTATGTTTTTGTGAATGAATTTTATTGTCTAAGTTACCATCTTCTCTTGTGTTAGAGTCTGTGACAAATGCACTGTAGACTAGACGAAGGATGGAATAAGTTAACTTCTATAACTGCAATGGTTGATCAGTCATTGTTTGCTGATAGTGTGTGTTTTTGTGCAGATTTGTTTTGGGATAAGAGCACAATCCAGCTCTTTGGGAGACTGATGAGCAGTAGGCAGGATTTTATAAGCCGAGCCTGACTGATACAATTTTTTTGTGACTTTTAAAAAAATCAACACCGGCCAATACTTTTTTCCTTCAAACACACAAAATATAGACAGGTTTCCATAATTTTTGTGTGTAGTTATTTATCATCATTAATATGACAGTGCTGTTAAAAATGTATTTGTTTTTACTGTCACAACAAGTCATGGATTACTAGTTTGTGCTCTGCTCAACTCTCCTTGGTTCAGCTGGATGTTGTTGGTGGAGATACAGATCCCTGTTGCCCTCTGGTGGACAAACATCAAAACAAAATTAACACTCATGTTTGAAGGATGCCTGTCCAGCTCTTCTTTATAAAATGCTTACAATTTCATTTATCAGCCACTGCAAATGCAGGTACCGATATATTAGCAGATCATCGGTTGGGCTCTAGTTCTGAGGTAACTGAAGCAGCTGTAGTGAAGAACAGAATGTGATTTGTTCTGCTGCATGTTTGCTCAGTAAGCTCTCTTCTGCAGGGGATTTTCCTGGTTTTGAGCTAAGGCTTGTACTTGGTTTGTAGAAAATTGCTGTTAGGTGTGAGAGGCAATTCCCTTTTGACTTCATTGTGTAATGTTAAAAGTGGTTTGAAGGGTTGCCTTGGAGACACATTCAAGGATGCAACAGTTTTTTGCCATTTATATTTTACCAGTTTTGTGGTTTTAAATGCATAAGTACCCAACTTAAGTAGCACCTGAAAACTAAGCGTGAGGGTCAGTTAGATTAGGGTCAGGCAGAGGAACAGGGCTGTGCTGTGGGGAGTTGTTGTATGGGTTATTGAGCTCTGGCTGTTTTGGGCCTGTTTTGTTTTTTGTCATTTTGGGGTTAGTGCTTTTGTTTCCTGGTTATGGCTGCTATTGTTGCATCTGCATCTAGTGAAATTAGGTTAACCTTTGAGCAGTAGAAGGAACTACTGTTGTTGTGGTTGGAAATAAAATTCAACTTGAGATGAGAACGTTAAGTAAGAGCAACACAGATGCTGATGGTCACGTCTCTGTTTCTCCTGGGCCTTTACTTTCTTCTGATTAAGGAGAAATCTTCATCCCAGTTTTGTCATCAGAATCCTTA